AAAGCGCCGAAAACACAAGATGAGACCAGAGTGAGAGACCAGAGAGAGGGACCAGAGAGACACCGGACAGAGAGAACACGACTAGAGTCTAGTCAGTCAGAGAGAGACTGAGACCAGAGAGAGACGGCGAGGCCAAAGAGAGACCAGGAAAAGAGACCAGAGGGACACTGAGGGACTAGAGAGAGACACTGAGAGACCATAAAGAGACAGACAGAGACCAGAGATACTTGAACAAATCTTCAAAAAAAAAAGACACTTTTTGCCCAATTTCAAAAATTTTTTTGTGCTGTTGTTTAGTCTCTTTTTTGCTTGTAGGAACTTAAATCATTGCAGTCTTTGTGATGTGCTCCTTGCCAACATATAGTTTGTGATTTCGATTCTATTGAAACAGGCCTTTCACAATAATTACTGCATCGATTCCATTCCTGATGTCAATTAATTATACATTTTCTTTGCAAAGTTACAAAGGCTTTTGCAATTATATACAGAAAACATGAAAATGAGAGACTTTGGCTCAGACTCTCCAGCATGAAGCCCTGACTTGAGTGGACTGATGAGAATGAACGATGGATCTACGTTTTAGATGTAGAGGGTTTGACATGACTAAATATGATGCTACTTAGAAAGTTTGAGATTTCAGATCTGTGGAAAGACCTGAAGAGTTTACAAACACTCTCCATCGAAATCAGACAAAACTCTTTCTCGTCTCTTTCTCTCTTACTTGTCTCTTTCTCTGGTCGGTCTCATGTTTGTCATTGTAAAAAAAACTTGTAGTTGTTTTGGTTCTTTTGCAGACCACTACCACGCAAGTTTCTTAGATGACTTTACTTTATTTTGATTTCATTAAACCCACAAACTGTAGCTGTGATAAGTCTGAATCTGAACCTTAAGTTCTACGTGATCGTTATCGAAACTGAACCCACTTCCTGTTTCTTGCAGCTCTGACAGGACGCTCTTCACCTGCAGCTCTGACTGTGGCACACACATACACACACGCACACGCACATGCACGTACACAAACACACACGCACACTATAGCCAAACTACGCATGATATTTCCTCTCTGCTTTAATGTTTGCACGTCTTTGGAAGGATCTAAGTTGTAAAAGAAAAGTAGAAATGGATAATACAAAAATATATATATATTTTTTACATTTTTCAACTTTATTATTTTTGTATTATTTTATACATAGCTTAAAATCCTTAATAAAGTTAATGAAGCAGCACTAGCGCTGTTTGGATTCACGATACTAGCACCTGACCCCACTTCCAGTTTGGACCAAGAATCATTCTCAGATTACTCTGGTCCTATTCCTGCACTAGGCCAGAGCTTAATGCACTCCCCACTTCCTCTCCCAACATGGACTGGAATGACTGCTTTATGTCTCCCTCTGGTCTCTCTCTCACTCTGGTCTCTCTCTCTCCCCCTCTGGTCTCTCTCTCTCCCCCTCTGGTCTCTCTCTCCCCCTCTAGTCTCTCCCTCCAGTCACTCTACTAGCTCAACCAAGGGTGGCCTCCGGACCAAATGTGGCCCTCTGTGTCATGTTATGTGGACCTATGCCGCTAACACAAACTCGTCTAAGAGTGTCATCCAGCCAACTTCAGGAACACCTTTGGAATCTAGTCATTAACTTTATTTGTATATACTGACATTTGTTTTGATTGTATCACAACATAGTCCATAAAGCTTAGAACCTGAATCCAGTCAAAATGCCGACCCCTGGACCAGTCTGGGGAACTACCTCAGACAGTTTATGAGAGCCAGGTACTGCATGTCCCTCACACTGCAAGTCTGGACCTGCAGTGTGATGGGGCCCTTAGGGGACTCATGGGACTAACACAGGACTTAATGGACTGGTGTCAGTGGAACCACCTCCTCCTCAACGCAGGGAAGACCAAGGAGATGGTGGTGGATTTCCGCAGACGTCACTCTGCCGCTCCGGCCCCAGTGAACATCCAGGGAAAGGGCATTGAGAGAGTGGACTCTTACAAGTACCTGGGTGTTCATCTGAACCACAAACTGGACTGGACTCATAACACAGACGCCCTCTTCAAGAAGAGCCAGAGCCGACTCTACCCGCTGAGGAGGCTCAGGTCTTTTGGAGTGCAGGGGCCACTCCTGAAGACTTTCTCTAACTCTGTGGTGGCATCAACCTCTTGTACGATGTGGTCTGCTGGAGCAGCAACATCACAGAGAGGGACAGGAGGTCATCAGGAGGACCGGCTCAGTCCTGGACTGTTCCCTGGACACAGCGCAGCAGGTGGGGGACAGGAGGGTGCTGGACAAACTAACATCTATGTGGACCATGACTGTCACCCCCTGCAGGACCCTCTGTCTGCTCTGGAGAGCAGCTTCAGTGACTTCAGTGACAGTGAAGGAGAGGTTCCACAGGTCTTTCTTTCCTGCTGCTGTCAGACTGTACAATGAACAATGAGGACTAAAACACTGCTAACCGGACCAAACATATGCACATATGTCGTGCATATGTGTAATAATAACTTAAATCATGTCAGGATGTGCAATATGAAACCCCATGTGTCCGTTGTCCCAGACCCTCATGCTGCTAACATGTCCAGATGTTAGGGCTGGGCGATATAAAGGGTATAAGCGGTATGCGATCAAAATTTGTCATCAAAGCGGCCCCAGCAGAGGTAAATACACACACAGTAATCCCAGTTTAAGCGTCTACCTTTGATCACATCCATGGGCTTAATGTTAACAAGCGCCAGCGTGGGCCGTGCCCGCAGCATCATCACAGCAGAAGTTTGGTAAAATTAGCGTCAGATTTAGACTTCTGCGGTCAATAGCTCACGAAAGCTACTTTGTAAAACGAAAGTAATTGTGCCAAATTGATCACATTTACATTGATTGTTCAAATCCAATGTGCTGTTTTAATATATATAAAAATATATACAGTATATTAGATTTATATTTGATTCTAATATATACAGTAAGTAACAATCTTGACTGTTATGCAAGAACCTGCTAGACCTATATTAAAATTCACACACCAAATTATACCGCAATATGAATTACAGGCCATATCGCCCACCCCTAACAGATGTATACATACAATTGTATATTACTTGCATTAAAATATAAAGTATTTTATACTTGCTTCCTTTTTATACTAAAGCTAGAGATTCTATTTTTTTTTTTAGTATAGTGTTACTTTTCATTTTTTCTTGTGCTGTGCGCTCTTCATTCCTACTGTTCTGTAATGAATCCTTAATCTTAATCCTGTGCCCTCTGATTTAAGAGTTTTGACACTGACTCTGAGACAGTTGCTAGACTAGAAGACAACTCATCAGAATCTACGTATCAGTGATTGAAAAAACAGATTGGAAGATTCATGCAAGAGTCGTCTGCTCCAGAGAAACATAAAACACACCACACGAGAATGGAAGCAGAACCATGTGACGCTGTGAAACAAGGCGCTAAAAACAACACAAATGCTGTTTAGACAACACCAGCGACAAAGACTATAGAGACCAGAGAGATACCAGAGAGTTACCAAAGAGAGAGGTCAGAGAGAGAGACCAGAGAGAGACGCCAGTGAGAGAGAGAGCAAGAGAGACCAGAGAGAGACCGGAGAGTTACCAAAGAGAGAGGTCAGAGAGAGAGACCAGAGAGAGCCCAGAGAGAGAGACCAGAGAGAGCCCAGAGAGACCAGCGAAAGAGAGAGAGAGACCAGAGAGAAGATGACTTTTGAATCATTCATGGGGCACTTTTCAAAAACAGCCTCTACAAAGTGCTTGCATCTTATTGTTTAATATCCTCTACCAGATGGAAGAAGCTGGAACAGGACTATTCCATAAAGAGCTTCATGAACAATGCACAAAATATTCTCATTTCATTCTTATTACTGGTATTTTTTTCTTGAATACTGAATTGGCACAATGATGTATTATTTCTCATAAGATTTTTCCGGACAGCTGGTGGTCTTAACTTTCATTGAAATCGCAAAAAGTGTAACTGTGATGATATTTAAGGTTGAAACTCCCATTTTCTTATATGGCTATGTCTTCCGCAATGTTAGCTTTCTGCAGTTTCCTCTTGAATGAAGGCATCTTATTCATACATTTTGATATGACTCAAACCTGGATTTTCAAAGTCAATATCACAATATAAAATACCTGGATCACAGAGATCGCAACACCAGTTTATTTAGCTCAAAATGGTGAGTGTTAAACAAAAGCTTCCTGAGCTAGTTTACTTTTCAATGCAAGTCAATAAGTGCCAGAACTAGCCAAAACTTAATCCATGAGCACATCCCTATTGGGCCTCATTGAGCTTGTGGGTTTGCATTGTCCATCTATATACAGTCTATGGACAATGGTCGTCAAATCTGAAAACAAATACCTGGATCAAGGAGGCGATTGAAATCAGAAAGCGGGGCAACAACAGCATCAACGGGACTAAGGGGCCTTCCTCCTGTCACACACCTGGGACACCCTCCAGAGACCACTGGGCTCTCTTCAGAACCAGAGCTGGTCTTGCTGTTTTCATTTCCCTTTAGTATCTGGTACCCTATCCTAGTAAACCAGTACAACAGACCAGTATCTGGCGAAATTCCTTGGTAACCATGACTTCAAGCAGCACTGAGGCCAATCACCATCAGAACTCTTTAGTTCCAGCTGGGCCTGGATAGATCCATGTCAAGAGGGACAGAGTAGAGTAAAGTAGGTGGATTATAACGGGATTATTACACTCTATTCCTGCAAACTACATTTTAAGAGCAGATGCCACGCCCCCTTTTTGGACGACTAATCGATGTCGCTCATGTTTAGTCGACAACAGCCCCAAAACTAAACAAGACATGTCCACTTTAAACGATGAATCTGAAAGATTACCGAGGGCCTGCTACACTCATACAGATGCAGGATCAGTCACAGCTCCTCCCTCCGGGACTGGACCGGTCAGCACCGCGCGGACCCCGGTCTCAGACGTCCCCCCGGTGCGTAATGCACAAAACAAACACATAACGATCACGTCTCACCGATGGTGGAGATGAAGGTGGTGTTGAACGCGTCCTCGCTGAATCGGAAGAGCAGACAGGTCTTTCCCACGCCGCTGTCCCCGATCAGCAGCAGCTTGAACAGATAGTCGTAGGTTTTGGCCATAGCTCCGTGCGTAAAGCAGTCCCGGTGTGGATGGAGTGGATGCACGGCCTGTCAGGGGACGCGCCTCGCCCCGTGCCCCGGTCACAGCCCGTGTGTGTGAACCGTGAGGCCGCGGTGGTTCGGTGGTGATCAGCGGGGACTCGGCTGCTACACGTTACCGCACTGTCAGACACTGTTTCACCCACGGAGGAGGCAGTCACCGGGAGGAAGCACACCGGAGACAAGCGAGCGGCGGAGGAAACAGCTACGTCCGCTCCTGCGCCTCTGGACGTCAAAATAAAATTTACTTTTTTCTTGTGTCACGGCAGGGGTCCCCGATTATTCCAACCATTTCCTCCAGGAGAGCTACTACTGTATATCAGAACAAAATGAGCTATTCCTTTAGGCAGGCGAAAGAAGAGATCCTTTTTTCATCCCACAGTGGAAATATTTCAGTGTTGCATCACATACAGATAGGAACGAGGAGCACACAGCACAAAATACATTAACTCTATTTGTTCAGGCAGGCTTTCCCGCCTTGCATGATTCTTCTGCATTTTAGTTTTTTGGAACCGACTTGTTTGTGTATTTTGTATATGTTTAATTGTTAAGCGGCTTAGTTATCCTGGTCTGTTAAGGCGCAATACGAATAAAATTAACTCACATTGAAATAAGAACCATCAAACAATTGTAGAAGATTAAGATTTCTAGTTTTTTCAACTGAAGTCAAATGGAGCCAAAATTCACTACCACGTGTCAATATTCTGAAATCTCAATGTAATAAAAATCCCTGCGCCTATGTGCTTTTATTTTGAAGAGTCAGGTCCGGATCTCACCGCTGTGCTATTGCCACTTGACTGTACATGAAAGGGGCGCGGCTTTTCACTGGGTTGCCAGATTTTGTCTATATCAGCCTCCCGACACCTCTAAATACTTAGGAGTCATCAAGGAACAGAAGGCTGCCAAGATCTGAATCACTTCTACTGATGACTGTAATCAACATTTGTCCCGCAGCGTAAACTATGAAAGCAAGTAATTATAGTTTTTCTACTCAATAATTATAGTTTAAAAGTTTATAAGCAACAAATCTGGTATGTGATTAAACCATAGACTGGATTAAACAAGTTGGATGTGTTGTGGCAGTATTTACAGTCTATGGTTGTGGTCTGCTCTCTCAACTATCTAACTTTAAAACTAGTTCCTGCTTTATCACTCGTTTTCACATGCATTTATTCTTGGCCTCTGACACATCTTCAGAGCAGCTTTTTTCATGCACAAAATTGGAAAAAGACCACCCACACTCAACCAATCAGCTCTCAATCTGAAGGGCTCTTTCTTACACTAAAGATTATTTTATTTATTTTTTTTAAACGTTAAGACAGAATGTTGTGGTCTGATTTGTTTACATTTTACTTTTACAAGAACACACAACATGGATCATTTCTGAGAGCGAGAACGTAAAATACCCCAGCTTTAAGGATACATTTCTAAATCTTAAAGGATTTATAAATGTATATTAGTAGGGCTGTTCTAACAGTTGCACAGATTATATTAATACTAATCAAGTGATCGAATAATTGGATTTTGAATCATACACGTAAACAAGCAGCTAAGGGTTTTAGAACACAGGGCTGTAATCACTGCAGGTCTCATCACAGTAAAATAAAAATAACTTGTGATAAACTGCTTGTGTAAGTCTATGGCCTCGCACCTAAGTACATCTGTGACATGCTAGTGCCATATGAACCAACTCAGACTCTGGAAGCAGAGACTGGCCTCGAGTCAGGATTAAAGACCATACAGTCTGTGGTTAGAACTATCCTTGATGCTATACAAACATGTCATAACTAATTTGGCATTAATGAAGTGACAGAAATACTAATATATTCTTTCATTCACTCTACACACGGTGGTGATAAACTACTACTGTAACCACATCTGCCCTGAGGCACACTGACAGAAGCGTGGCAACCAGTATGTGCCCTCGGCCCCTCCCACCACCAATCATTCATGCACACAGCAGACTCATTCATATCTGGGTGAAGTGTCTTGCTTAAGGACAGAACAGAGGTTTGGGAACATACAGTGGGGCGGCTGTAAAGTGCCAGCGGTCTCCCATCACAGTAAAATAAATAAAAATAACTTTGTGATAAACTCAATATTTATTTACTTCCATCATTCCAAACAATATTTAAGTCCTGTTTTCTGCAGTCACAGTGGGGTTAGCTGCGGAGAATTAATGTAGCATCTCGCATAAGAAATGAAAGATTCTTGCTTGATAAGACCTTATATATATATATATATATATATATATATATCTATCAAACTGTTTGTCGACAGTAACATTGTAAATAAATAAGACTATGTTTAAACACGGAATACAGTAGTTTCCCCCGTTTAAAAAAATAGTGAGTTTTTTTCAGACACAACAGGAAACTATATGAAGATAGAAACAATCTCATGGTAATGTGATAATTGTGCGTAAAGTTGGAGTGACTCCTTAAAGCTGCAATGAACAAAGCGAAAGACCGTAAATCAAAAGGCAGTGAAAGAAAAAGCCTCTAAAACTGGTTCAAGTCCATTGGAAATACTGGATTTACAGCATCTCATTTAGAGGAGATCAAGCAAAATAGATGTTGAGCTTTTGACCATGTTTACAGCATCAATCCCTCAAAAACTCACCTGGAGTTGTTTTTAGATCAATCCACGTTAACATCAGAGACTGACGGCACAAACATGTAGCTCCACAGCTCGAGTTGCCTTGTGTATGAACTGTGCTAAACAAAAAAACTTGCCTCGCCTAAATGCAGACTGTAACATTGCCATTTCGATTGCGATGAATCGTGCAGCCATAAAAAAAACACCAGGCCATGTTAGATTCAGGTCAGACGAGAATGTTATTTCCCAGTTTGGCAGTTTCTAGGCTTTTAGTAAGTGCTGAAAGAATCGGTGTCTCAGGTGTACAAGACTAAAGAAACTGTAAATTACCAAAACAAGTATGAATCAGACTAAAAACAAGAGTTAAAAAAAAACGAGGGGAAAGAACTATACCATGGTCAAAAGCTGATACACTTTTCAATATTCTTAAATTACTCTTTCTTTCTGAACCAGTACGAGCCCGACGCACAACATAGTGGAAACCGCGCACCACAGTTTGAGAAACGCCGGCCTCACGCATACAGCTCCTCGAAAGACCTGCAACGCTTGATTTCTGTACATTCTTCCACTTAAGGCGAAGGGAGAGCAGTTACAGTGAGAGCGGGCGACAAAGGCAGCTCGGTGTCCAGGCCCCAGGGTTTCTCAGAGTCCGGGAACTGTATGCGTTGTCAGCGGGTTCTCAAACTGTGGTGCGTTACTGAGAAAACACTTTGTTATAGTCGCGTGCAGTTTAAAACAGGGCGAAGTCTCAAGTTATACCTGGTTTGGAGAGAGGTTCAAAGCAAAGTTGGGGTTATCCATCTATTAACTTACTCATAACGTAGTGGTTTTAAACAGTGGTGGTTGTGCTTAAGGTTAGAACCATAGACTGTATATTAGGAGTGGACTGAGTGATGTCACCAACATTAACTTGGCCAGATGTGAGGCTAGGACGGTGGCTAAGGCAAGCTGGCATTCAAGCCCCCCCCCCCCCATGAATGAAGGCATCTGATTGTACATCCAGATATGAGCCATAAGCATTGACCAAACAACAACATCACAATATAAACACCAGGATCACCCACAGAATTGTTAAGCGCAAAACTGGCGAGTGTGACACAAAACGGTGACTGAGCTAGAAGAGTGTACTTTTCCATGTAAGTCAATAGGAGCCAATGCACTTCTCTCTTGGGCATCACTGAGCTAGCGGATTAGCATTGTCCATCTGTATACAGTCTATGGCTATGTGTAGGTAATGGATCCTCCAAGTTTTTATTTTGACTCTGAACAAGAGTCTTTTTAAACGTACAGGAAATTGAAAAATAGTGTTGTAATGTTGGTCATTACAACACAATTTCCAAAACTATAATACTCCTGCTGCCCTACTGGAGATAGTTTGAAAGATCCATTCCTCTCTAGTCCCTTTAACTCCTTTGCTTATACCTACCAGCTCTTTCCAGATTTCACACATGGCCCTCTCTCCTCGATCATATTTCAATGGGCTTGACCAGAACATGTAGAGCCTTTTCGAACAGTAAGCTAAAATGAACCGGACACGGCAGCACAAACGTCTTTTCAGTCAAATAACCAAAAATAACATTAAAATGAGCTTGAGGTAGTCAGTTTATCTTGATGTTATTGTAACAGACATAAAAACAGGACTTGCCAATGGAACAAGCAGCTTTGGTGTTTTTTCAGGTGAATGTGTTTTACTTTCACTGAAGCTAAGACAAGACATTTCATGCATTGGCAAATCTTGTTTTGGGTCAAATCAAGATAAAAACGACTGCATTCAAGCACCTACTCATGTTTCTATTCTCTGCATAGTGTGACTCAGTCCATGTCTTGGATTCTGCGGCAGATCTCCCCTGTAAACTCTGAGCACTTTGAGTTTCCTCCCAGATCCTTCGTCAAAACCTGAAAATATATGAAAAGAAAATTATTAGAGAACTTTGTCTCCTGCATTTAAGATAAGCCTTTAGTCGCTCCACAGTGGGGGGATTTTAATGTTGCACACATTACAGCAGAAGAAAAAGGAGGAAATCAGAGCACTCTGGTTTCACACATCCACCAGGATCTATTATTTAGGCCACATGGCCTCTGTCAGGAGCAGTGCCCAGGGACCCATCTCCAGACATGGACAGCCTCAGTCCTGGATCGACAGCTGGTCTGTCCCTAACCCTTCCTGAGGTTTCTCATTCTTTCCAACTGGGTTTTTGAGCGGTTCTTTGCCAAAGCAGGAGGGTCTAAGGACAGTGATAATCCGGGACATTTAAGGACATTTATTAACATTTCTGGACAGTGGTCATATCTCTGATCTGTTGTTGTAAAGGACTTTTTAAAGTTCTCCGAGATGACTGCTGACTACAAATACATTGAATTGGAATAAAATAATTTCTTGAGATCGTCAGTCCATAAAAACCACTATATGTTGTTATAGTAATGTTCCAGTGGTGCAGTTGTACCTTCATGTCCTTGATGGTGTCGAAGCAGGCCGTCTGGATCTTGTCTGCGTACGGGTGGAGGCCCATGTGCCTCAGCATCATGACCGCACTGAGCAGCAGCGCTGTGGGGTTTGCCATGTCCAGACCGGCGATGTCCGGAGCCGTGCCGTGGACCTAAAGAAGCACACGGTTAATGCTGAGCGACAAGAGTCTATTTGATTATTATCAGAGTATAGAGCAGGGGTGTCAAACTCCTTTTGGTCCGGGGGCCAAATACAACCTAATTGGATCTCAAGCATGGACGTCGGAACTATTTTCTGAGGGGTTTTTGTTGGGAGAGTCGAGGGAGAAACTCATACTTGGATTACACTGGATAATAACATACCATCTTAATTGTTAAGAAAACAAAAAACAAACAATATATATCAAGCAAGTCACTTATCAAACTGAACATTGTTTTTTTCAATACGCATTCATGCGTCAGTCTCTCCGGTGGCTTCATTGTGTTGTGTAGCCCAGTGACGTGCGGTCAGATGAGGCAGGCAAGGCCCTCACCTAAGATCATAGAAAGAAAAGTAATAAATTGGATACAATAATGTTTGGTCACTTTATCAAGTGATTTGTGCTGTGCATTATTTCATTTATTTATACCTTGAAATATTCTGCTGTAGCCAAACAAATTGTGTATAAGCCGCTCTGTAGGTCCTGTTGGTTTATATGATGTATAATCATATGAACACATGATTGATCCCCCACCCCAGCGCACGTCACTGGTGTAGCCAGGTCTCTAAACTGCGCAAGGCTGAGAAAGAGCGCTCAGAGGCTGCGACAGATAGTAGCCAGACAGAGCTTCATAAGCACCTCCGACAGCATGGAGCGGGTTTTGGGCTGCAAGGAACGCAGGATAGTGATAACTTCTTGCTCCCGGCACACGCGGAGGGGGTGCGGCCGCACCCCCCGCTCCCCTAGTTCCGACGTCTATGATCTCAAGTGGGCCGGACTAGAAGATGCTCTACAAAAATTACCAAAAACGGGACAAAGTCCAATTTTTTGTGCACATAAACACATTTATATAAAACTTCCTTTAAAACACTGTCCTTTAATACTCGCTCAGTTTTTACTGTAAATCTGTTACAAACTTCAATGTAACAATGAGTTTTTCTTAGTGCAAATAATGTAATGTTTTTACAAAATTACATTAAAAATGGCATTTCACAATATTTATATTAATAAATGTATGTTAGCTTTGTTTTAAGGCTCATTACAGAGAAAACTTGCTCACAAAGGTGAAGACAGAAAAAAGCACTTTAACACAGCACCTCAGTTTATCCATCTTCAGTGTGGTAAGGTCCATGGTTATGTTATTATCACATTAACCATCTTCAGTGTGGTAAGGTCCATGGTTATGTTATTATCACATTAACCATCTTCAGTGTGGTAAGGTCCATGGTTATGTTATTATCACATTAACCATCTTCAGTGTGGTAAGGTCCATGGTTTTGTTATTATCACAGAGAAAGCATCAAACTGACCATGATTCAGTTGAAATGAACAAAACAACTTCCATAACGTGATCCATAACGACTGCAGCAGTGTCTCTGTGTAAAATACAGTCAGATGTCCAAAAATCATCACCTACTTTTGCAGCTTTGTCACTACACCTGCTTTACCATCGGGACCAGCGCAGGACCAGCCCAGGACCAGCCCACACTGTCCAACAGCACCAGCAACAACAGCAGAACCAGCACCAGCAGCAGCGCTCAAAACACCTCTGATAGTTTCAGTAACACCACAAATGAATATGCGACATCAGTAACATCAGTCTCTGATCAATGGCAACATGTTGGTAAAAGCGAGTGGTTTCTCAGACCATGTCTACAGTCTGTATGTTATAACAACTCTCACTGTGCGGCTGCAAGACTAATGCTATGTTTTAGCTTGTCTTTACAGCAGCAGCACTAACCTCTCGCTCTGGGCACAAACAGACTGCTGTGTCTTCAGGGCCAGACATGTTTATATTCTGTCTTCTCAATTCTCCGCTCAAAGTGCCGTATCGCAGAGTCTCGCACTTTAAGATGTTATTCCTTCAGCACCGCTCTAGTGGAGGCAGCTCCAGACGCACTGGACTCGATGCGGCGTCGCGGAGCCTCGCGGATAATAATATTTTTTTATTATTATTATAATTTTACATAAACGAGTCGCGGGCCGTATCAAATCTCTTGGTGGGCCTGATCCGGCCCGCAGGACCCTTGAATGACACCCCTGGTACAGAGGTTTGTCTGAATGGAAATGTGCATAAGTTCTAACTCTGGGCAGCGCAGGAGGCCACTCCCTGTGCTCCTCAGAGTCCCAGTTGGTTCATATGTCACCAACATGTCACAGATGTACTTTGGTGCAAGGCCATGGAGAGACTTGTACACAGGCAGAGCTGCTTTAAAGTCTATCTGAGCCAGGAGGCCAGGACCCGGGATAGAACTTCAGGACAGAGACCTGAGACCAGGACAGATGTGAGAGCACTTCAGATCCAGTGAGAAGTCTGAGAACTGTCTTTTCTCCTACAAGAGGTATTGCCAATTTTTCCACCCAGAAAACTGATGGCTACCTATAGTGTTATTTTTTCATTGTGTTTTGAATACCTTCTGTCACAAGTTTTGCATTTTATTTGAACCTTAAGAATCCAATCCATGTCAAAAGCACAAACCGATTCAAAGATGGCGACGCCGTTGGCTCCGATGTTTCCACTGGGTGTGACTCCGAGTCCTCCGATCAGACCAGCGCACAGGTCACTGGAAAACACACACACACAAACACACATTACTGATGCAACACTAAACCAGGACTATAATGACAAACACTAAATGCACAGTTGTGTTTGTCGCACCTCAGGATGTCTCCGTACAGATTTGGCATCACCAGTACGTCGAACTGAGTGGGGTCCTGCACCATCTGCACAAGAGAGCAAAGTTTTTAATCGTCTTCATCAAAAAAACAAAAACAGTTTTGACACAAAATTGATGAATTGAACTCACATTGAGACAAACAGTGTCCAGGTACATCTCTGTGAACTTTATGTCCTTGTAGCCTTCTGCCACTTCACGACACTTCCTGAGAAACAGACCGTCCGACATCCGCCTGAACGCACAAACACACGGTTAAAGGAAACATGTTAATTTACCCTTTAGGAGACAGTGATTTGGTGACTCCCTGGGAGAGACTTAACCCGAGATATACATAGAAGAAAATTATAAAAGAAAAATGTTGGGAGACCAACATTTGTGGGAAGCCAAGTCGCGGTATAAAAAGTGTCCTGCATTTAGGAGCAAGGCGAGGGTAGGGCAGGTGGAAACCAAATTTTGAACTATTAATGCACATAAATCTTGATTTGTAAAAGCATTTGACTAAAGATATTCTTCCAAGTTTTGTGGTGCCATTTCTACACATCACTACTCTGTCGATACAGTCCCCCTCCAATAACAAAAAGTAATTTTGTGTAAGCTCTCAGTCGTACAGGGATTAGTCAAAGCAAAGGAAGGTTTCTCACCCATCATCTGTACTTCTTAGCAAGTTTTCCCGAAGTAATATTTTGGTTTAATCTGGCCGTATGATAATCTCCCAAGCCTCTTCTAAATCATCCAGATGGTCAGTGGAAACCTATAGATGGGTCTGGTGATGAGTCATCTTCAGCAGGGGAGCTTTCGGGGGCTCCATCTTAAGAACACCATACCCACTGAAGCATGGGGGTGGAAACACTATGGTTTGGGGCTGCATTTCTGCAAAGGGACAGGACAACCGATCTTTAATGTTTTGCACTTGCATTGATACTGTTTGGTCATTCGTTTTCATAGTCAATTGTCAATCAATCGTTTTATTTCTTTTATTTCTGTACTTTTAATGTTGTTTTATGTCTGTACTTGTCTTGTGCACACTGGTGACTTTTGCTAATGCATTCCAATGTGGTTTTACTGCAAATGGTAAATAAATGAATAAAAATAAATGAATCTGAATCTGTATTAAAGAACTTATGAATGGGGCCAACGACTTTATTTCATCAGAGACAGAAGGTTAAACGTGGCTTGGTCTTCAAAAAATGATCCAAAACACATTCTGGCAACAAAGGAGGGTCTCCATAAGAAGCATTAAAGGTCCAGGAGCCTCAGTGGTCATCACGCTCCCTATGGACCAATGGCGCCAATGCATTTGTTATTATTGCATTTCCTGTTCATCTTCCACAACCCGGACTTGTGGCTGCACCCTCTCCCGCCTGGGAGTCACCTCAGTCCTGCATTGCGTGGCCTCGGTTTTTGTTCAACAGCCTGAGTCCTGGATCTACAGCCCGTCCGTCCGTGGGAGCAGATCCCTCCCTCAATGTGGGCCTCTCCGAGGAGAAATAATTTTTTGGTGATGATTCAGGACACTCTGCATTCAATTTACATTACGGACATTAGCAATCTGCCCCTTATGGATCAATAACTTTGTGTTTTTATCATTGCCTTTTCTGTGCTTGAACTGTTTGATTCTGATCTGTGTTGGTGAATTCAATAGTTTAGGGTTATAAAAAAATAAATTAAAATTACTTAATTGTTTGAACAGTTATATTCTTTACAAAGTTGTTGACTCACGACAACAGATCAAAGTCCTCTGTGATGACTGCTGTTGTGATTTAGGGAGATACACAAATAAATGTAATAGAAAATGGCCTCACATGATGTTGGCCTTGTGCACCGCGGTGACGCTGGCTCTTTGGTTGTTGCGTGCGTATTCAAAAGCGTATTCTGCGATGCGTCGGCTGGCCTCTTCTGTGATCAGTTTGATGCTCTGAACGACGCCATCGACAATCTGAGGGAACGGAACAGAACCAGCGTGAGAGACGTTCAGATTGACACATTTCCACAAAACACAGATTATGGATCCTGCCAAAGTTTCTGAATATCAGCCCGGTTCTTCTGATCGTAGTTAATAGCATCATGGGAGAGGTCGACGCAGGGTTCTCTGTGGACTGATTTTGACAAGCCGACAGTGGATTTGAAAGGTTTTCATGTTTATACAAAAGGATTTTTTTACTCAAAGAATTACAGAAAGTACAATTTATTTATGTTCATAGTACTGTTAAGGTATACTGTATCCTCAAAGGAGAAATATACAAGGGATTTTTTAAGATCTGGCATGCTTCTTCTAAAATCAATTATGATGTTATGCATCAAGCCAAATCAGAGCAACTGAGGTGCGCCCTCTGTTGGATATTATGTGTAATTACAGCACAAAGGCAAAACCCAGATATGGAAACGGGGATAAAGTTGCTCCTTTTTCTTTTTAAATTTATGAGTCTAAAAAAACCTCTGTTGGCCCCTTCTTTCCCTTGGTTGGGAGTGTTTCCACTGGCCCTGTTTAAACAGGGCTAGGTTCTTCTTTAGTCGCTCTTGGCCCTGGCTCTATCCAGGCCGAGCTGGTACTAAAGTGCTCTAACAGTTATTGGCGAGAGTATTGCTGGAAGCCATTGTCCCCAAGGAACTTCCCTGGACACTGGTTTGTTGTAGGTAGGTTGCTATGATACAGTACTAGATACTAAAAGCATAATGCAAATGAAACCAGGTAGACTAGAGCAGAGCAGAGCCAAATGGAGATGGTGGACTCACGGTATGCTCGATGCCACTGTACTCTCCCTCTGTGTTCTCTCTGATCGTCACCAGGTTCACGTCGGTGTAAGGCGTCTTGTAGCCCTCTATGGACACACACGGCCGCACGTTGGCGTAGAGGTCAAAGGTTTTTCTCAGCAGCAGGTTCATGGAGGGGTGACCTGCTGCGATCGGGGTCTTCAGAGGTCCTACAGAGAGCACACAGGTGGTCACACTCTGGGACTGTATCAGAGAGCAGAGAGAGCGAGAGAGAGAGCGAGAGCGAGAGAGACCAGAAAAAGAGAGAGACGAAGAAAATACCTTTTAATCCCATTTTGTTCTTGTTCATGGATTCTTTGGCATCAAGAGGGATCATCCACTTCCCTCCAGGTCCCTTTATGGCTGTGACGTTCCTCTCCTCCCATTTGATCGGAGCCTGGTATGAAAAAATTACACAAACTATTACCTTAAAGTGATTGAGACAAGGGTGCAGCGTGTGCAGAGATGCATTGGACAGTTGTGGTGAAGGGGGAGCAGCGTCTGCAGTCAAAGCTCAAATCAGTCTACGCTTCCACCCTTGCCTCTGGTCATGAGCTTTGGGTGATGACCGAAAGGACAAAAACAAGGATACAAGTTGACTAAATTAAGTGTCCTTCTCCGAGTGGCTGGATGTTCCCTTAGACATTATATGAGGAGCTCCGTAATACTGGAGGAGCTCGGAGTACAGCCGCTTCTCCACGTCAAAAGGAGCCTTGGCTGTGGCAGAAGTCATCCCAAATCCTTCATGTTTCCTCCTGGTCTGGTCTTCAAAATAAGTCTATTCTGATCAAAATCCATGAATAGTAATAAACACACCCCAAACTTGTTATTGATTAACTAAATGGAATAGGTTGGTGGTGTAATCGTTGTGGTCATGACTGTGTTTTAAGGTCAAACTCTCACATTTGCAGTCTCAAAGATCTTCATGACGGCGGTGGAGATCTCTGGTCCGATTCCATCTCCTGGGATCAGAGTGACCGTCTGCATCTGTGAGGACGAACACAAACATTACCATCACATGCACTTTCACTACAATTATCATCTGAAAATTATGTAGAGGTGCAACGGTTCATCACTGATCCGTGATCCGTTCGGTTCAACGTCTTCGGTTCGGTACAGACGTGATCCGCGGTTTGATTTATGAAAAAAAAGTTGTGCGCACGTTGTTTAGTCCACACACAGCGCGGTCATTGCGAGCGCAGGAACGGAGATGCTTGAAAGCCCCGCGTCATTTAAATCCCCAGTATGAGAGCATTTTGGCTTCACTGTAACTACACTGATAATTAATATTCAACAAAACTGTCACGATGTGTAAGCAATGTGGCACAAGAAAGACATGAGTGAAAAAAGCGTCTCAACGACCGCTTATTGCCGCGGCATTTAAGCAGCTCCTTTACGCAGTCAGACCGGGCTAAAGTCAACTCTCCCGCGCATCCTCAGCTGCGCTCACGACTGACGCTTGGACGTCCCGCGGAACCTATAATAGATCCATGAGCGGAACCGCTCACTTCATCACCGCAGACTGGGAGATGAAAAGTCTGGCGCTGAAGACACGCCCCCTCTACGACAGTCACACAGTCACACAGCGCCGGTACTGACACAAGCAGCGGAGGAATGGAAGACAAAGGACCAGTACTAATATTCCAGTCACAACTGATAATGCCAAAAATTAAACAAATGCAGTGAATGAGGCTGGGCCCAGAATGGAGCGCCTCCTCGGGAGAATCAGGAAGGCGGTTTAATATATGAGGGTAAATATCCTCATAAAGTGCCTTCTTATGTTGCACTTTGTGTTGTTTTTCATTAATTATGTTAAATAGACATAATTGGATGGATGGAATATGCCATCCAGCCATCTATCCATTTCCTTCCCCTTAATTCATTTCTAGGTCAGGGGGGGCAGTCAGAGCAGGAGCCGAGTCCACATGAGCTGTGTTTATTAAAAAGACAAAACTTTTTTTTTGAAAAATGAACCGAAAAATGAACCGAACCGTGGCCTCTGAACCGGGGTACGAACCAAACCGTGATTTTTTCAAACCGTTGCACCCCTAAAATTATGATAATAAATTCTTTAAAAAGAATTTCAACACGTCAAAGAATTTTAGAGTAGAGAAGCAGACTTTGATGAACGGCTCCACAGCCTCCATGATCATTTGTTGAATTAATTGTAAATTTGGATAATAATAAATACATTTCTTTTATTGGACACCTTTCTGGGCACTCAAAAGTTGCCTGCCAAAAAGTAAAAGCAGTTAAAAGTCAGCAGTGGATCAGAATAAATAGACGAGTGGTGGACGATCAATGCTCGATAGAGTAGACAAAAGTATTGCAATATTTAATTAAATAAATATCCGTTTCCCTTACGCATTTACTAGTAATTTATATCTGAGGTTTATGTTACTCTATTATGTCTGCTTATTGTTACTCTATTCTATTTAAAATATTCAAGTTGCAGAACCATAATAAATGTGACATTTGAGTTGAGCAATCTTATTTTCCTCAATTTTTGTCTTTGAATAATATGAGGGACATGAACTGCAATATATCTCAGAATCAAACCGCAAAACTTACTGTATCTCAATACTATGTTTTGGTCCAAATATCAATTTACTATCGAACCGTGACATTTTGGCCAATTCCCACACCTAAAATAGACCAGTCTCAATAGATGTGTTATGAGTTCAGTTTGGAAATGTGGGTGTGTGTCAGTGTTGCAGACGTCAGGGGGAAGGGTGTTCCAGAGCGCGTGTACAATGATCGTATATTAGTACATTTGAATCTGTAAATGTCCCATTCACCAACAGTTTCAACACCTTTGAACTGGACTAATTACTCCACATTCTAACATGACCTTTTGTTGTTGTTTGCTAATTTGTCTGTCACAACAGATGTGAGCTGTCAAAACTGGATCCAGATTGTGGCCATTAATATAATAGATTATAAATGCCTGTTGTAAATTAGCATGGTCTAGCTTTAACGCTAAAGGCAGTTGATCTGGATTGTCCGTAACTCATGTCCATACCATAAGCTTGTGTTCTGCTGCAGTTTCTCAAGTGAGTGTGTGTGAGTGGTCAGATCATTGTTTGTTTTGAGTTAAAAGTCAGGTGGGACTCACTCCTCTGGAGAAGGACGACAGAGTGGGCTTCCTGACCGCCGCCACGGCCTGGGACAGCTGCAAACAAGGTCAACATGGGTCAAGACACAACAAGGAGAAATATCTAAATCCATAGAGGCCAGAGGAGACCAGAGATGGAGACCAGAGATGGAGACCAGAAAGACACCAGTTTGTTGGTTACGGTTCTGTAAAACCTATTCACATGTTTGTTCAACGTTATGGATCACAAAAATGTATGACTAAATCACCCAACAACCAGCTCAATAATAAATTAGTGGCGGTTAACAACAGCCCTACCGCAATTTAAGGTACATGTGAAAACCAGCTCCAGAAGCTTTTTAGATGTAAGACATCAAAAACATTGTGCATATTGATTTTTCCATTACTGTAAACTTCATTGCATTTTTTTGTATTCAATTGAAATGTGTATTACAGCCCTGATACAGCCACTCTCTGGTCCCCCCTTTCTCTCTCTCTCTCTCTCACTGGTCCCCTTCTCTCACTGGTCCCCTTCTCTCTCTTTCTCTGCTCCTCATTGGAATATGTTGACGCAAACGTAGACCTTCAACAATTAGAAATAATACGTTCCAAAACCGTGCCATAAATAGAAACCAGAAACACATTAATATCTATGTATTCACTCATTTACTTATTTCATGAGCCATACGTAAATAACTAGTTTTTTTAATTCCCAAAAGAAGTAAAACCATTGAACTAACCTATATGAACTCACCGTGATCAAGAATCATGTATGATCAAAATCAAAGAACTCACTATACTGACTGCGATTTCCGCTTTTATTGTGGATATAAGTGTTATATATACATACAGTTTGGGCTGAATTGAAGAAAGCGCATAGTTAGTCTTAAAATGACATGTTTAAGAAGTTAGCAGTCAGGGCTGTCATCCCACTGAAGGACACAGGCAGGGGCTAGCACAAGCTAACAGCTAACATCCGGGTTTATCAGGCGTATTTAGGGAATGAGGTGGGATAAACACCGGGGGAAATGCCCATAGAGATGAAGGAGTTAACACGGAGGAGTTAAATCATTACACGGACTTGAAACTGCTTGAATAATCTAAAATACTCACCATTGACCTCCACGCGTTGCTTGCCATGCTACAGAAGAGAAGATGTTCTGCTGAGGACAAGCCGGTGCTGAGATCGTGTGTGGACTACTCACTCGGAAGAGGCGTGTCAAATCCACGAAATAAATAAATCAACGAAACTAAACCAAAAACACGTCCCCTTTTAAAGTGACGTGTGTTCAATGAACTAAAAGCAGTGATTTAATTAAGGGATGTAACTTTGAAGAGATTATTTTAAAAGCTTAATTAGCGATAGTAGCAATAGACGATCTTTGACGGAGGAGAGGACTCAATGAGGAAGTGTTGAGTCTGCGTAAAAGTCTATGCGTAAAACCAATGACACTCGGTTGCCAGATTTTATATTTCACACATTTTTCATTATTATAGTGTTTCTTTAATCGGAGCGACACGATTACAACAAAAAACGCAATAGAGTCCATTATCAATTAACACTAGGACTCCCAGAATTCATTAGATTCGTAATTTGGACTGCTCCCATTCTGAAACATCCCCCAAAAAATGAGTTCGTTTCCCACTAGACATCAGTTTTATGAAGTAATTTTTTTTTTCACTTTAAATGTATGATAAACTAGTGAGTATAATTTGAAATACAGAAAATACAGATTGCTGACAGTAAATAGTACGTTGCTATGGTAACCACCACTGGCTCTGCTCCAGTGGGAATAAAGATGACTCAGAAAGAGAACCAGTTCAGGACCAGTCCAAAACCAGTGCAGGACTAGGACCAGTCCAGCCAGGACCATCTCCTTGAAGAAAAGGGGCTTAAACCCATGGCATAAACTGGAGAATATTGGTTAGGGGTTGGTATTCCATTTAAATGAAGGTAGAACTACTGACATTTCAAAAATAAAAGATAATTTAATATAAATAATGACAATAAACTACATAGAAACAGAAAAATTCACAAAGTTAGGAAGACCAAAAAATTACATAAAATGAGATAAAATGAGAAATAACTCTTCCCAAAATAAAAGCTGTCAAATTGACTGCTCTGGGAGTTAGTATTAAGCAATGAAGATATGTTGCCGGTTTTCAGAGAATGTTTTCTAAAATAAATGGATCTACATGAAAAGGAAAGTAAATAGAAATACATATGTAAATACATGTTGAAAAAGCCAGGGATTATTTTCTCCTTTATTTTAATTGGGGTTTTTGTGGCACAAGGGGTGCACAGTGGGGAAAAAGGATAAAATAAAAATGTCTTGTCACTTTGTGTGATAACATGGGGAAAAACTGTGAACTAATGAAGATGACACAAAGTAATGAAAAAAGAAAAAGAAAGATTTTATTTGCTTCTTTATTATGCTAAAGTCACAGATTTTATACTTCGTTCTTGCTTTTTCATTACACTAAAGTTGGAGATTTTAGATTTGGTTTATTATTACGCTAAATGGATTGAGATAGACATTTTATTAGACAGAATTTTTTCATGTATCTTGTGTTGTGTGCTGTTTGTGCATTCCTACTGTTCTGTAACTGGTGATGCAACACTGACATTTCCCCACTGTAAAATTTCCCCACAAAAACTATGACAAAAACTGCTGCTTGATGTATATTTTTGTACACATTGGCCTGTGTTTTTTCTGTAAGCGCAGTAGGCAACACAACAATGTACAGAAGTGTCTTCATAAACTAAGGAATGTCAATGTCCTGAATACTTATAAATGTATAATTTTCTTGAATGAATAAAATCCATCTTCATCCGTTATGAACTATTATGAAGCTTAGTTTCTCCCATTTTAGCCATATTAAAAAACCTGTAATGGTTTCCTCAACTATTTGAAAGCTTATCTTTTGAGTCACTATATTTACTTGAAGCTTAGAACCTAAACCTCAATGGGACCACTCACTTGGTTTTAGGCACTTTCACCATCAAACTGCAGCTTAACCATTTGGTTAAAAAATAGACAGAGACAAAAAGATTATTATAGTGCCCCTACGTCATAAAAAAAATCCTAAAAAAAAAATCGGGTTTAGGGTTCAAATTGATCATTCAAGCTGGGGTGTCCACATTTTTTATTTCAATAATAATCCATTTTGTTTGTTGGACCACATCATGCTGTCTTCATCAAAATCATTATTTCAACTTTTTCATTTTTTGATGAATATTTTGATTTATTTTAAACACTTTGGTCACCTTGAGCGTTGTGAAGGGGGTTAGCCTTTGGCAAGGCACGTTTATTTATACAGCCCAGTTCGTGCTGCAAGGGCGTAGGTTTGCGTGGGGACCATGGGGACATGTCCCCACCAATATTTGGTGAGGACTAAAAAGTCCCCACCAAAATGACATGATGTCCCGTGACCCGGACGGTCCGGGACACATGTCTTCCGTTTGTGCATACGTCGCGCCTCCTCCTCGCCTCCAGAGCAACAGCAGCAGCAGCAGCACGTGACCCGTTCCGTTCTCTGCAGTGATTGGCTGTCTTCTTCAGCGCCAAACTGAAGCACTGAGCAACTGTTTAATTTTTAAAAGTTAGCCAGCGTGAAGCAAGTGTTTTTTTTCGTTCCCTGAGCGTTGTAGCACGTGAGTAATCAGAGGAAAGTACTGTAGATCTATTACCATTCAAAGTACTTACGTTATTTCTAATCTGTCAGCGCACTGTTTAATGTTCCGAGGAGCTCACACGGCACAGAGACAGAACAGAACTGGCTCCAATAAAGAAACAGGTTGGTTGAAAGGCTGAAAAAATACTTATTGTGCTCTTACTATCCAAAATGTATAAGTGGGTGTGTTGTGTGAATCAGGATAAACTAGTGATGAAAATATTCCACGGATCCACGATTTACAACCTTTATCTGCTGATAATGTAATTTCTGTGAAATGTGTGACAGCGGGCACTTGCTGTTATTTGCTCTAAGCACATCCAAGCGATGCACTCGAATGTGCACGTCCTTGTGCAGCTGCTGCCGCTTTGTAATGACAGCCGCGGCGCTCAGTGAAAGCACAGCTCTAACATGGTACCGAGCTCGGACCATATGCAGACAGAACCATGTTGCAAGTGCGGGTCTCCCTCGTATCTCCCCCGTTTCTCCCCTGTGTCTCTGACATGTCTCTCCCCTGACTCTTCCCAAAGCGCAACCAGCGCTCCCGAAATTAAAGCTCGGATACCTAAATTTTCCATTGCGTTAACGATGCATGCTGGTTGTGCGCAAAACACACCACAACAGGTCATTTAAGTTTTTATTTTGCATACTTAAGAGCCCTGTGAGTCATTACTTGCCTTTTTGGGTTGTGAGTGGAATAAAAAAAAAGAAAATATAGAAAAATCCACACTGTTACTTATTGCCAAACTCTTGTTAACTCATTGTATTGAGAAATACTATGTAACTTTTGACATTGGCCAAGTTATATAAATGATTCTGCAGTTCATGTATATGAATGTCTGTTTTTGATTGTCTATACCTTCTTATATAATTTAGAAAAAATGCCACCTCCACAAAAAAAGATAAAAGATATCAGGAGCTTTTTTAACAGTTGGAAAGTAAGTAAGAGAAAGCACAAGTAATAGCAAATTATGAATTGTGATGATTAATCTTCTGTTAACATACATAGGAATCTCAACCAACAAGAGAGAACAATATAGGGAATGTTGAGGTAGAAGCAACAGGCCCTTCAGTGCATCAGGCGAGGTTGGAATTTTGTAGGTATGCATGGGAATATGAATTGTTTTTAGAGATTGATTGTATATGTCAAACAATGTAGTGAGCTACTCACTGTAGATTCTAATTCAATATTTTCTCCTCTGTTTTTATTTATTATAGGAAATTGAAAGATCAGAGCATGATTTATTTCAAGTATCGAGAGCAGTTCCTGAACTGTTAGAGCCTCAGGTGAGGGCTATTATGTAGATTTGGATTAGGTTTAAGTCAGTATAGAATGAACGCAACACAAAACTCAGAAGCTCTGATCCAATTGATTTTGTTTTAACTATTAGAAAAAATCCTTAACTGCTTCTCATTCAGTCTACAGCTGAGTTTAGTATAGAAGGCAACACACTATTGCAAATATAGTGTGTGATTACACAACAAATTCTGGGGGAGAAACTCTGGACCCCGTGTCAATGGGTGTAGACTCAGGTCGTAGTGAATGTCCCCACCAAGATTGGAACCAAACCTACACCATTGTCGTGCTGTATAAATAAACGTGCTAGGGAACATTAATAATCACGGTGAATTAAAGAGAGTGAAAAAATGCAGTCCTCGGACCAAACATTGAGTCATTTGTGTAGGTTGTTTTTCTTACACCCCTAATCCTACGTTTATACTTTGGAGTGAAAAAGCTGATCTGAAGATGCGATAGAGGCTATTACACACTTTCAAGTCAATGTATTTGTGTGTAGCCCTAAATCACAAAAGCATTTGTCTGACTTTACAAAGTTGTCGATGCGCCAACAGCAGATCAGAGAATCAAACAGTTGGAACAGAGGAAATGCAATCATAACAAACACATTAATCCATAGGGAGCGGGAGGACCACTGTACAGAAATATTAATAAATGCATTATATGAATAACTAATGATAGAGCTAGGAATGAGTAAATATGGATTGTAATACATACTTACATGTTTTTGGTTCGAAATATCAGTACCCAGCTTCAATCCAGAATGCTGTCTTTCCCCACTCTCCCCGCTGGTCCCTGAATGCCTCTCGCTGCTGGCGTCGTCTCCTCCTCTGCATCTGCGCTGGACCTAAAATCAAAGAGCGTGTAACCCACAGTGCAAACCCACAGTGCAAACCCCAGGATGGTCCTGTCTCCTCTCGCCTCTGTTTACTCGGACTGAAGCGCACCTTTCGTAGTTTTTCTTTGGTAGTATCTTCTAGTGGGATGGTGCATTCGCCTGGAGCCACTGGGGCCAGTCGACGAGGATGGGCAACAAGCAGACAACCTTCACCGACGAGCAGCTGGAGGCGTTTCAGGTGCAGCCTTCACTTACATTATGCACGTATATATCTCTGATCCGTATATACATATAGACACATATACATATAGACACATATACATATACATATAGACACATATTCAAATAGACACATTTACATATAGACACATACATATAAATACATACATATAGATACACATTTATATATACACATATACATATAGACACTTATACATATAGACACATATTTATATAGACACATATTTATATAGACACATATACATTTAGACACACATATAGATACATATATAGACACATACATATAAACACATACATATAAATACATACATATACATATAGACACGCACATATGGACACATAATATACATATAGATACACATTCATATAGACCATACATATAAACACATATACATATAGACACATATTTATATAAACACATACATATAAATACATACATATACATATACATATAGACACAGACACATATGGACACGTCTACATACAGTATAGACACATTGAGGATTTCTTGATTTAGTGATTTCTCGCTTAAACAATGTTTTCTAGTTTAGAGAGAGGTGAAATTAAAATGTTTCTGGGGCCACTAACCCTTTTGATGTATACAGGGGTATGAAAAAGGTAGTTCAAAGATGTGACAAAAGCTAATCAATATTTTGTACACTTACATTTCTCCATTGATTGTAGTATCAAAAGAGAGCTTAAAATGTGGTATTGTGAATGATGTCATAGAATGTTGGTTAGGGTTAGTGGTTTTTTCAATCAGATTAATGCAAAATCAACTATATAATTACAATATTTTTGACATTTTGTTCAGTAGTGGTAAGCAAAGACAGGATAATCTTGACTGATCTCACAATGGAGAAATGTACATGTCACATTTGGCATAGATATAGTCTCTTTTGTGTAAGATATATCATGTACGATAAAAAGGTAAAAGTACTTAATAACAGTACTTAAAATAGCAGTACTTCACACACGCCTCAGTGCATTCGCAGAGTTACATTTTTCGAGTTTGAATTGCACAGTATAAACAGTTTATTACAGTTTCACTCTATGGAAACAGTTAGTACATACTTTATCTCGAGCATTTTACAGTTTTGTGTCCACAGATTTCAAATTAATTACAAATACAATGCGGAATACAAGTAAAGAAAAGACTAATGTGGTGTTTACTAACATCTAAACCAGCGTGTCAGAATGATCATGTTGTCAATACAATAAGCAGTAAAGTCATGTATGTTCTGTTTGTGAAGGAAACAGGATGTGTGCTGAGCTCTTTTCATCGATCATGTGTTTGTTAAAGAATTAGTGGAAAATAAGGCCAGAAAATGTTTGTTCAGCACATTTGCACGGGCAACTCGAGGTGTTTTACAAAACAAGAGAGGAAATATTAGAATATATATTACAAGAAAAAAAATATTTATAATCACAATCCAACATCTCACTTATAATATTTTAAAGAAAGTTGAATCTACTGCAGCTGTTTTAGATCTCGTTTGTAGAGATCAGCGAGCAGCCGTTACAGTAGTTTAACCTACTGGAGACAGTAGCATGGATCAGAATCTGCAGGTCTGCTTTAGAAAAAATGCAAAATTCAAATAGAGAAATAAAACACCTTCAAGAGGATTGTTTTGAATCATGTGAGTATATTATTAATCATTCATGAGAGGAGATAAAAGTAGGGTTAAACAGCACAAATGAAAGTGCAAAAATTAATCATGTATATTTTTGTGTTTCTTGTGTTTTCAGGATTGTACTTTTTTCACACGGAAAGAAATCTTACGGTGAGTTTCAGAAGATTCAGCCTCTTAATTTCTTCTCTAGTGTAAAAAATATTAAATGTTTTTTCTCTTCGACTAAAATAACGTAATAAGCCTCAAACATAAAGAAGATCTATAGCTGGAATGCTTAGTCTGCCACAAGGACGCAGATCATGCATTTTCTTTCTTTCGGACAATGCTTACCCGCTGGCACAAGGAAGCTCAATAGGAAAGAGCTCATGGACAAAGTTTTGCTCCAACTCGCTCTGGCTCTTATTGACTTACATTGAAAAGGAAACTCCTCTAGCTCAGTAACCGTTTGTGCCACACTCACCATTTTGAGCATCAAATAATCGGTGGTATATCGCTCTCTGTGATTCTGGTGTTTGTAGTGTGTTTGTCTTTGGAGTTGGCTCATATTGCAACCACTTAAAGGAGCAGTATATGTGCAAATCTGGCCAAAAGTGGTACTGCAACCTCTCCCACTCTCTCTGACTGATTTGTCTGCCAGATATGCAGACAAATCCAGCTGGGGCCATAATATCTGAATAGAGAAGAGTTTTGTCAACAACAAATCTATAACCAACACCTTCACAAAGGCCCCGATAGAAATCCTGGTTTTATTCCCTGTTTTGTCATTCATGACTTTTAGAATCATAACAAGACCTTTTTTAGTTCTGCGGCCACGTGTTACTTTACCAGTGAGATTAGCTTGACGCTGTGAATTCTGACAACCCGGATCACGGACTTTCTGATTGGTGAAACGGTGGAGGGCGGGACTTCGAAATGGAAACAGTAACTAAGATTTAGGGGCTGTAAAACTCATTTTGAAATTCAAATATCTCGGCTTAATTTAATTATTTGAAAAGACCATGGTCTATTAAAGCCTTTTGACATATTAGGGCCATTTGATGATGACTTAACATGAAAATCTTACATATTGCTACTTTAAACAACACATCTGCTCCTGTTACGGCGCAAAGTTAACCCCGTCAGAACAAATTCCCATACAGAAAAAGTGGCTCAAGCTAGCTGATGTTCAAATCGGATTCTTCCGCTTATCGACTCACTCTATGGTGATGTCACACTTGGTCAGCCCACTCCTCATACCCGCTCTATGGTTTCATGCCCATTACCTTCTCCCTGTTCCTCCTGCTCTATTGATTAATGGCTCAAAATGTCTCCAGGACCAATTAAAACGCTGTAAAACTCCTCCTCAGTGCTGGGTCTCGTTTGTTCAGCCGCAGGAGACTAGAGCAGGTCGCGGTTCGTCTATGAAGGCGGGAGATTTACGGCCATTACTTCCGCCAGTGGGTCGATAGGGGACATTGCCGCTGCTGCTGCTGCTTCAGGTCATTCTTTCGTTTCGTTATGTAAATCAGCAGCGTTTCCCGTCGCTGGGGGAGGTTTTGCTCAAGTCGATTAGTGGATGCTTCCGCTTCGCTGCACATTGAATTCAGGCTTGTAGCAAATTGTTTGTGAGGAAATTATGAAGATTTCTCAAAGTAGAATTTTTTTACCCTGAATTTTTTTGGACATTGAATTTCTTGACACTGAATTTTAAAACATTGCATTTTTTGTTATGGTTTATATAATTCAAAAGCAAAAAAAGTTCGGGTTACATATATTTAGAGTTTTAAAATGTTGTTGATAATAAATACACAAAATAACCTTGATAGGAAATGGGCATTAGAAAGTTAACAAATATAAAAACATGTCCAGGGCAGACATCAAAATAATGAACATGATAAAATAAGTTGTTGATGACATTTATTTAGTCATGGCCCCAAACAGAGCGGGGGACTATGGTACACAATTTTAGTGGTGGGGGAAACCGGAGCAACAGGAGGACTAATAAGAATAAGAGGAGCTTTGTTTGTCCCACAGTGGGGAGATTTTGACAGACACAGGGAGAACATGCAAACCCCCCAGAGAAAGGCCCTGTCTGGAGGTGGAATCGAACCTGGGACGCCCAATACAAAACTCCTCTTTTCCTCTTTCTCCCTTTTCTGTTTCAACTTGAGCTGATGATGTTTGTGTTGCAGGTTGCACGGCCGATACCGAGAGCTGGCTCCACATTTAGTCCCTCTGGATTTCACCAACAGCCCCGACATCAGGATTCCACTGGCGCTTATCGTCACTATGCCCGAGCTCAAGGTACAACATAACCAGAAGTATCTGTATCTAAAACAATAATGTGACCATAGACTGTTTAACCCTAACCCAATATCCTTATATATGCATCTGTTCCCTCGGTGCTAGCTTTGTGCGGAAACGGGGACAGACCAGACTGACAGACTTGTTGCTACATGGTTGCTAAGGCAAGCTTTCCCCCATGAATGAAGGCATCTGATTGGTCAATCCTTATATTCAATTAAAATGTAAGCAATTTATTTTTGTATAGTCCTAAATAATAACCATAGAAAGTCTCGGAGTTCGTTTCAAAACCGTTGAATTCGCCAACACAGATCAGAAAATCAAACAGTTCAAACACAAGAAATAAAACAGAAAAAAACATTGGTATTGGTCCATAAGAGGCAGATGGAGGTCCATCAATATTGTTGAATGTTGAGTGTCCTGGATCATCATCACTTCCTCACAAGACTCCAACAGACCCTCCGGCATCGGCAAGGAACAACTCAGTGAGAAAAGTGAGAATCCACTCCCACAGACTCCCACGCGGTGCAGCACAAGGCCACGCAGTGCAGGCAGCTGCCAGGCAGCGAAGGGGTGTAGCCCATGAGTCCAGGTGCAGATGGAGGAGGCTGGGTTCAGGGATCCCATCATCACGCCATGAAACAGACAATAGGACAGCGGGTGAATAGCAATGAACAGACTACAGTCAAAGTCATAAAGATGATGATGATGGAAGATGGATACGATAGTGCTCAAGTTACCATACGCAGTTACTCCATATGCAGCTTGACTAAAATTAAGGCCGCCTTGACGTGAATGGGAAGCTGATTCCACATATTTCCAGGTAAATGGCTCATACCTGGATTTACAAAGACCATATCACAATAAAAACACCAGGATCATTTTAAATCCCAAAATGGTGAGTGTGACACAAACAGTTACTGAGCTAGAGGAGTTTACTTTTATATGTACGTCAGTTGGAGCCAGAGCGAGTTGGAGCAAAACATACCTATCGGGCTTCATTGAGCTAGCAGGTTAGCATTGTCCATCAGTCTATGGGGTTGTCTTGGGCCGATAATGGGCACTGATATCAACCAATATTGATATATATCAGTGTTGGCTGACCAATCAGATTCTAGATCAGGGCGAAATCAGGGCGAGATCAGAATGAGATCAGAACAAGATCAAGGCAAGATCAGAGTTATATCAGGACAAGATCAGGGCAAGATCAGAGCAAGCTCAGGGGTGTGAGACCATCTGTATCATTCATGTTTTTTTGTGTGTGTGCAGGAAAACCCTTTTCGAGATCGGATCGTGGAGACGTTCTCGGAGGACGGAGACGGAAACCAGAGCTTTAACGACTTTGTGGACATGTTTTCTGTTCTTTGTGAAGCCTCCCCTCGCGACCTCAAGACCATCTACGCTTTTAAAATCTATGGTGAGAAGTGTGCGTGTGTGTGTGTGAGCGTATGTGTGTGTGTGTGTGTGTGTGTGTGTGTGGTGTGTGTGTGTATTTGGGACGATGTTTGAGTAAGTTAAGATACAGTTTGTTAGTGCGTTTATCTCAGAAGGGGAAAATGTCCTGTTCCTGTGTCCTCTGCCCCTGTAATTTCGACCCCCCTTAACCTTCCAACCCTGAGTTACTTATTTTGAAGTAATCAGTGGCGAGGTGTGATATGTGGCCATTGGCCAATGAGGGACCTGACCATTCTGATAAAGCTTGTGTGAATCCCATTGTGCGTCAGAGAGACTGATGCAGCGTCCGAGGACCGGACTGCAGAAGCTTTATTCATTTGCAAATGCTTGTTCTTATCATTTACTTTTTACTTTCATTAAACCACACAAAATGCAACTCTGTTTCCATGGATAATTAAGGACTGTTCAGTGTGTGTGTGTGTGTGTGTGTGTGTGTGTGTGTGTCCAGTGTGTGTGTGTTCAGCTCAATGAGCAGTTTCCTGTAAACGAAAGGGGATTACAGGTGTCTGATGTGTGTAAGCCAAAGTCTGTATATACTGTAGATGGACAATGCTAACCCGCTAGCTAAAAGAATGGATGAAGTTTTGCTCCCACTCTCTCTGGTTCCTATTGACCTACATTTAAAACTCCTCTCGCTCAATAATCATTTGTGTCACATTTAAAACTTTGGGCTTAAAAAATAATGATCCTGGTGTTTTTATTTGAACGTCTTTGTAAATCCAGATGTATATTAACAACTAACCAATCGAGTGTATTTTCCAGATTCAGCAATAGCGAGCGAGTAGTGAGAGAGGGAAAACACAAGCATTTTTATTCAAGCAATGAGGGTTGAATGTTTTTACGTTATGTAAAATTTACAAAACAAAACTATGAAACTTGTGTGGCGAGGGACTCTACCACAATCATCAAAATCTACAGCCTCAGTCCTGGATCTAATGCCTCAGTCCTGGAACAACAGCCAGAATCTTGGATTGAGCAGATCCGGGACAATTATGGACGTTTTATATAGAGATGTAGACAAAATTGAACTGAATTGAATTGGATGTGTGTTTTTATGTGTCCAACTATACGTACGTTTACGTTTGGCCTTGTCTCAGTAGTATCCAGGGCTAGACTGGCCATCGGGCGTACCGGGCAATGCCCGAAGGGCCGATTCCCATATTTGGGCCGGCCTGTCTGCCTCATACAAAAAACATGTTTGTGAAAAGTGTAAATCCGTTGAGAAATGTTCGAGGGGGGCGCGCATATCCGCGGGGCACCTGCTGTATGTACTTGAACGGGATTCCGGCACCTCAGTGGCCTCAGTGTTTGCGGCGAAGTGAGCGGTTCGCGCGGCACAGCCTCTCCACCGTGTTGCGGCTGCACGCTCAGAACACGGTGAGCGCGCAGCCGCAACGTGACCTCCTCCCATCCCTTGTAACTGCTTTCTGACTGCTCCTGTTGTGTTGCAGACTACAACCGGGACAGCTTCATCTGTAAGGAGGACCTGCAGCAGGCCGTGGTGAAGCTGACCAAGGGAGAGCTGAGTGCCGAGGAGGTGACCCTGGTCTGTGAGAAGGTCATGGAGGAGGCTGATCTGGACGGAGATGCAAAACTCTCCTTCAGCGACTTTGAAAACATGATCTCCAAAGCTCCAGACTTCCTCAGGTCAGCGCTCGTTTAACAATCTCTTCCATCCATGGTCATACATACTTTCTTCCTAGAGGCCTGAACCTACAACTAGTGATTATTTAGACAGTGATAAGTCAGAAGAGGGACAATATTTTCCATGATGACAGTGTAACAAACCATGGAGCCGTGACTGAAGCTCTTACCGTCCAACTTTGGGTTGGTCTCTCTGGTCTCACTTACTTACTCTTTGGTCTCGATCTATGGTCTTTCTAGCCCTTCACCGCTCTTGGTCTTCTGGTGTGTCCCTGGGGTTGATCTAACCCTGGTATATCTGGTCTCTCTGATCTCTCGGTCTTCTCCTGGTCTCACGTTGTTCTTTCTCTGGTCTCTCCTTGTGCTTGGTCTAACCCTTGTCTCTATCTGGTTTCCCTCTGGTCTCTCTCTTTGGTTTCTCTCTGGTCTTGTGTCTCTCTCTGGTCTCTCTCTAGTCTCTTTCTGGTCTTTGGCTGGTCCTGGTCTTTTGTTGTGAGAGAGACTGTAAGTGCTAAGCTTATGTGCCTAAAGCTAACGTTAGCCGCATTCTAGTCACACTGCAGAATGAGCTGTCTGTGAAAAGTGCTGAGAAAATCACAATGGTACAATTCTAATGGATTGGTAGCAAAAAAACCTCCAGGCCTTATTTCAGAGAGACCTTCACAAGACAAGCCATTCTGGGTGTTGCAGATTTGCAACATTTGCTCGCTGTGGTAAACAGAGCTGAAACACCCATAGGAGAAAGAAATGTACAAATGGCATTTAGTGTAACTGTAGGTTATTAATCATTCATTTATGCATTTTTGGTGAGATTCAAATAATGACTTGAGAAATTATATGCATAGAAACCGTTGAAAACAATAGAACAGAAGCAGGAGAGAATGAGAGTCGCGGGAGACAGCTCCGGCCCCTGAGTTGATGTGCATTTGGAATAAAAAATTACTCAGAAATGAAGTCGTAGAAAATCTGCAATGACTGGCCTGGAGAATGTTAATAACCCACTTTTTAAATATGAGTGGAAAATTACAATTCAGCTTTTCTAGATCAATAACATTAGAAATGGGAAAAATATAGTGTTCCATTGTTTGTTGAAAGGTCCATAAGTGCCTCTATTCACTTTTTCTAGGCACATGCAACTTTTTTTGACATAGAAGGTTTTCGATAGTTTAGGTGTCACCATAAAAGTTATTCATAAAAGAGACCTGTTCAATCTGCACAATCTTTTCCCCAATCCCACTCCAAACGCTTACTCCTCCCAATTTCTTTCTCCTGTGTTGAAAAGCTGAGATCTATATTGCTTTGAGCAGAGGAAACTTTTGCAGACTCGTCCTTAGGTATAGCGAAAGGCTTCTTTCTTCCACAGTTTAAAATGCTAACTTGATACAACTTATTATGTATTTCTTTCATTACTTTAAATCATTAAAATATACTTAATTTTCCATGATCATTGTAAAAAAATTCTCACACACAATACATATTATTATTTAAATAGGATACAATCATGAACAGCTTTTCAATAAAGGTATATCTGTCATAACAAATTGTAATCGGAAAATGTACATACAAAACATAACTTATAAAAAGTTATTTTGCTTATTTTGGTTCGTTGTACTTTTTGCGTTCATACATGCACACGGCAATGCGCATTGCTCTGTGCCTGAAAGTGCAAATATCCTTTATGTATTTCCATTTCCCTTCAAAAATATAAAAATGTATTGAACGCAAAAGTACACGGACCTTAATTGTTCCGTGATGAAATGGAACTGTTTTTTGTAGCGAACCTTTTTGACAATATAATTTTAATAGTTATCTTAGAATTGTCAGATTACATATTTCATTTGTATTGTGTAAGCTGAACAAGCTGAATTAAAATCCAATAAGATTTGTTATCGATGTGTCTTGAGATGTTTCAAACAGGCAACCTTAATGTTTGATGTCAAAGCTAAGAACATCCCTAATTCCAACAACAGATATTGCAAGCGTTTCCCGCCTCGCCTAATGTAGTGGCATTGATTAAAGAGGCACTATGATACCTGACTGATGGCCGAGAGACTGTGCTGCTGAGTTGTTGTTGCGCTCTGGAGGAGGGCAAAGGAGTGTTTTTCCGTTTTCTCTCCCATGATGCCCTCATGATTACCTTCATTGATCATAATTTGTTCAAGTTGGTGGTGCAGTAGAGCTTCCTTTTCACTGAAGAACAAAGTACAATGAGAGTGTGTTATTTCATGGAAAGAAAATGTCGGTGCTGTATTTAAGGAATTGAATCTAATTAGGAAATAATTGAGGTGCATTGCTGTTCATTTAAGAATAAAATGCTGTCCGTGGGCAAATTAATCAGAGAAAATAAAAAATAAATATGCCATGCTTTCAGCTCGAATGAACAGAAGCGATGGATGGGATTATGGGGATGCCATGTGGGATTGAGGGCCTTGGGGGGGCAGAGGGATACTGCGCTGTTGATGAGGGGTTTTAAAGTTTGTATGTTATATAGCATTGAAGCGTGTTTTGCGAGGTATGGTTGGAGGTGGCGCATGATACAGTGGGGGAGCGGCGGAAGGGGGGAATCAAATTTTATGTTGGGAATTTAAACAGGGAGGAAGAGAGGGAGCGGCGGGGAGAAAAAGTAGTAAGGGCGAAGACTTTGGTGTGGATAGCCCAGGCTGTGTTTCCGGCTGCTGAAGAAAAGCGCCCCCTAACAATTGCATTGCTGCTTAAAAGGACCTCAACCAGGTTGATCCTCAGATTAGGTTTATTATAAATGCAAGAACTCTCTAAAAACATGTTTTAAAAAAAAACGCTATTCTTTCAATTTTTATAATGCGAAATCTGTTTTAACAGACACTAGTTAAACATACCTGGTCCAGTGACATAGCTGTTTTATGATGGAACCAGTAAGGTACGATTTTCTCCCAAAATAGCACTTGCATAACAACATTAAACACCAAATCTGTAAATTAGTCCAACAATACTCAGCTGTCTTCTTAGTGACTTGTGTTAGTGAGAGTAATAAGTTCACACAAATGACATTGTGTTTTTTTCCATTGTCTGACTGACAGAGGATCGGGACATCCGTGTTCGGGAATTCTGCAAAGTTTTTTGCCCCAATTCCAAACAATAAGCGTAAACATATTTTATTACAAAAGTCTAATTGGAAGAGTTAATACTGACAAACTCATAGGCTTTTCCAAGACCTCCATAATGTTGACGTGGACCTCAGAGTACATGCTTCAATCAAAATGGTCCACAAAAATACCAGAATGTACTCATCAACACTGTTCTGAACATCATTCCATAATTCACTTAGTGACTGGGTCATAACACATGCAGCAGCAGCTCATTAACCAGCTGCTTCAGAGATGTGACAGAACACTGGTCGACTGTGCACTGTGCATTCACATCCAAATACAGCATCTCATACAGTGTGCAACTATTGTCTGCGTCGCCAATGCTGCTGATCGATCTCTCCTATGACCAGATGGTGTCTGGTTTAATGAGCAGTAGAGGAAATAACACCATAAGTAAGTGGGGACACACCTCTTGAAAAATGTATGATCATGTATCTTGTTCTTGTGATGATATTACATATACATTCTCCCAAAAAACACAGACTTTGAAGATGACATGTGTGTAGTGTGGAACATTTCAAATATGTAGTGTGTAGTGTGAGAGAGTCTAAGTCGACTCAACATTGTTTGACCCCTTCCATATGTCAAACTCACACACCGCACTGTCAACGAGCTAAGCAAAATAACGCTGAGTGTGTGGCAGAGTTTCAGAAGGCACAAGTCAAATACAATGGAGAGCCATATTATGAAGGTCAAACATGAACTTCTTAGAAGGAACCAGGGTTTTATACTTTCCCCCACATCACAAGTTCAGAGGGACAATTCAAATATCAGAGGAAGAGGAATAACCTCCAGCATGTAAAGTGCATATCATCATGAAAAAACACTTTCCACTATAAAAGGCTTTTAGACCTAAAAGACTAGTATACTATTGGGAACTAGCACACCAGAATAATTGCTAAAGTAACAAGGAAAATAAATATTATAAATACAATAAAGATATATTCCGCCATAATAATTATTAGACAACGTGCCAGTGAAGTCAAAAAGAACAAATGGCCTCTTAGATAATCATTGATTGTTTGTTGAAAAAAAGCAAGATATCCATCAGTGAATAACAACGCATACAATGCACCCTGCAGAGCCCAGCTTGAATAGCAACACAACAAGAGGAGGTTGTCGGGTTAAGTAGAACATATTTCACGACAATGGTGAATGCTGAAACACAACACCATTCTAGAAAATCACCAGACCAACAGCAGAAACGATTTATTTTTGTTGCTCATTTGTAGAAACAGAAAATGACATTCTCAAAATACCATCAAATCTGTCAAAACACATCACAAAAAGAGCATGGCATTTCATATGATTTCCATTAAATGGCAAATGTCTCGTTAAATGTCTCATGTGGACCTCTGCGTACTTTGCAATGGTTAATGAAAGCCTTTACTCAGCACAATGAGCTCTCCCTTTAGCACACTTTTCAAATAAAATAGATGTGGATAAACTAATTAAGGTTAAATTTACATGTTTTTAGTGGTAAGCGGAAACCGTAGCACCTGGAGGAGAACAGAGCAGACAACTAGAGAACAGGCAAAACTCCACATAAAAGGCCCTGTCTGAATCCAGGGCTTCGGAGTTCAGTCTTACCGCTCTTGCAGTGCGGGGCCATGCATTTTCAGACGCGACTGCAGTGAGTCCTACACCCCCAGCGTACTCCAACATTATTTATCTCCAATACTTATTTTTTTTATTCTCATGGTGAAAATCCACAAAATCAGAGAGATTGTGCATTTTATGGGTTGCAGGTCCTTGTTGAGCAGGCTTGGTTTCTGCCTTACATCAGGTGGAAATATGTGGGAAGTGGACCTTTTAAAAAAGGCCTTTTAACTGCTTTTTATTTTTGTGATGTTTTTGCGATTTTTTTATTGTTTTACTGCATGCATTTTAATCA